CTGCTTCCATCTGATTGTTGCTGAGTTGTATCCCTTTACAAAGAACAGGTGATGCGGTGAATGAAATATTCTCTGAGTTCTGTGAACTGCTATAGCAAATTATTTGAACCCAAAGAGAGGGTCATTGGAACCTCCAGTCCATAGCTGGTCAGTCAAGAACACAGGTGGCAGCCTGGACTTGTGATTGGCATCTGAAGTGTGTGTGTGTGTGTGTGTGTGTGTGTGTGNAGAGCACCCTGGAGGAGGTGCTATGAGGAGGCGGCCACAGGGAAGCCACTCTAAGTGGGAAGGATTGGCATGAGAAGAGGAAACGTGGGAACCCAAGTGCAGCCTGACTGCGGCCCAGGCCCAGGTAGGGTGGCAGCTGGTTGTTGGGCTGAGGAGACAGCATAGAGCTGGATGCAAGCCTGGAACGCTGTGTGACAACCATGGAGGGCCATTTATAGGGAAATAACCTGAATAGAACTATGTTTGGGGGATTTAACCTGGCTGAAGAAAATGAAGAGGCGGATCTGAGAGCCTTCCTGAAAGACAGGAATGCCTTGTGATCTTCCAGCCAGAAATGGAGAATGCAAACAATGGTAGGGGCAAGAGGCAGAGGGGTTGATGAGGGCTGGCGCTCGACCTAAGGCACCCACCCTGCCCGCTAGACTCTCTGGTCCCAAGTATGACCAAAAGAGCTCATTTTGCTGCACAGAAAGGCATACCTTCATTCATCACCAAGCAGCACTTTCTTTGACAAGACGAACCAGTTTAAAGTTCTGGAAAGTTAAAGCAACATCAAATATAAAGAAGAATTCTGTCATTAAAAAAAAATATATTTTTGCTTTAGACAGACCCAGAGTGATCTGTACTAGGACTGAGCATTGAATGCAGGGGGTGGACACAGGGTCATGTCCCCCCAACCCCTCTCCGCTTCAAGTCTCAGAGTGCCTGAGTGCCCTCTCTTCAGGCCTGCACACCCAGCTGGGAGGTGCCCTTGCTTCTGTTCACGTGTGCGTGGACTCAGCTCTGACACACGGCTCTGACACCCTCCGTCAGGAGGCCATTGGTGGAAATACATCCTCTGATGAAGGGGCAGTGATAGGGACACTGACCAGCACTGTCACCTCAGACTAGCCTCCAGCGGATGCTATGGTGTGTGAAACTGAGCTTTTGCAGGCATTTTTCTCTCTTTGGGCTATGTCAGGGCTTCACTGTGGCACATGGAATCTTGTTGCCTTATGCGAGGTCTTTTCATTTGCAGCGCACAGAATTGTGGCGTGTGGGCTTAGTTGCTCCTCAGCATGTGCGTACTTAGTTCTCAGACCAGGGATCAAACCTGCATCGCAAGATGGATTCTTACCACCAGACTACCAGGGAAGTCCCCTGCAGGCATCTGTTGTTGAGCTAAATGACCCAGGGTTACTAGAGTCTGAGCTCATACCACTAGTCACATGACAGGCCAATAAACTGAGAGATGAATTAGTGGGGCAAGGAATAGCAACTTATTTGGAAAGCCAGCAAACTGAGAGGTGCTGAACTAGCACCCTAAAGAACCATCTTCCCTAAGTTAGAATTCAGGCTTCTTATATACTAAAAAGGGGTGGGATAATGTCCTGGTTTTGGCCAGACTCAGAGGAAGTGTTTTTTGTACAACCATTCACAGGTGGGCTTGGTCAGGATGTTTCCTGTGAGCTAAACATAAGTATTTTAGCTTAACACTCATTACCTGGGAGGCAGATTTTCTAGAAATGGGCCGTTATGTATAATTTAAGCTTCTATGCAATATCCCTTTAGTGATTAACCTGTAATAGAGGTCAAAAGTTCTTCCCTGTTACACTCCCACTTAAAATGGACAACTAAATGGTTTTTAGTGTATTCAAAATTTGCACAACCGCTGCCTCAATCAACTTTAGAACCTTTTATCACCCAAACTGAAACTCTGTACCCACTCAGTTCAGTTGCTCAGTTATGTCTGATTCTTTGTGATCCCATGGACTGTAGCACACCAGGCCTCCCTGTCCATCACAAACTCCCAGAGTTTACTCAAACTCATATCCATCACGTCAGTGATGCCATCCAACCGTCTCATCCTCTTTCGTCCTCTTCTCCTCCTAGCTTCAATCTTTCCCAGCATCAGTCAGTTCTTCGCATCAGGTGGCCAAAGTATTGGTGTTTCAACTTCAGCATCAGTCCTTTCAATGAATATTCAGGACTGATTTCCTTTAGGATTGACTGGTTGGATCTCCTTGCAGTCCAAGGGACTCTCAAGAGTCTTCTCCAACACCACAGTTCAAAAGCATCAATTCTTCAGCACTCAACTTTGTTTAGAGTCCAACTCACATCCATACATGACTACTGGAAAAACCATAGCCTTGACTAGATGGACCTTTGTCAGCAAAGTAATGTCTCTGCTTTTTAATATGCTGTCTAGGTTGGTCATAGCTTTTCTTGCAAGGAGCAAGCGTCTTTTAATTTCATGGCTGGAGTCACTATCTGCAGTGATTTTGGAGCCCCCAGAAATAAAGTCTGTCACTGTTTCCATTGTTTCCCCATCTATTTGCCATGAAGTGATGGCAAATTGTTTCATGTGCCCACTAGCTGGTCCCCATTTCTCCTTCCCTCCTGCCCTAGGCAGCCAGTCTTCTTTCTGTCTGCAGATCTATTGATTCTTAACACTTCATATAAATGAAATGGCGCAGTATGTGGCCTTTTGTGACTGGCTTCTTTCATGTAACCGTGTTCTCCAGATGCATCCACATGTAGCATGTGTTGGTAGTGTCTGTAGCCTAATGTTCTATTGTGTGAAATCATCACATTTTTATCCACTTACCTGGTGATGGACACAGGTTGCTTCCATTTTTCAGCAGTTGTGGACAGTGCTTCTGTGAACATTTGTGAACATGTTTTATAAGCAAAGATGTGAAAGGGATGAAGGCATTAACCACCCACAGCTGTGTAAAGGCCCTAAGTCGGGAGCCTGCTCAGCGTGTTTGAAGAAAACTGAGGAGGCCTCGAGGAGGCAGAGATGGAGGGAGATGAGGCTAAGAGAGACAGGTGGTGAGTCAAGGGAGGTGCTGGGAGCATATCATGAGGATGTGAGTAACGTGAGGATCACTGGATGGCTTTGAGCAGGGAGACACATGACCTGACATCTGTCTAGTCCTCTGTGTTGTATCAGCGTGTTTTCTGAGTTCAGGGGAGGATGAGGCTGGATGAAAGAGGGGAAGAAAGTGAGAGCTCTGAACATGACAGGAAGGCCTGGGGGCAGAGGGGAGAGGCCACAATCCCCGAGACCCAGGAGGTGAAGCCTGGCCAACGCTGGGACGAGCCTGAGGCAAGACTGGGCACCTCTGGGTTGGACAGGCTCCCCTGTTCCCATCCTCCTCGGATGAATGCTGATGTTTCTTTCTCCAGAGCATGCCTCTGAGAAGCACATCCTTCTGTCATCCCGAGGTGGGCAGGTGACGGGAGGCGGGCTGTCACTCGCTCAGGAGTCCCACACCTTCTGACATCTGCTCGCCCTCCCTCTGACAACTGCCACCCCCTCCCTCACTCACAGGAGCTTGGCTTTCACCCCAGGAACTCTTTGAAACAGTTGTTTTGAAAGCAACCTGCACCTTAGCAAGATGCCTGCTAAGATGGTTTGAGAAGGACTGTTTTCTCTGCCCTTCTTGAGGGGAGAAGGCTCCTTCCAGCACTTGGCCAAATTAAGGAGTGGGGCTGCTGTCCTTTGACATGACTCTGTCCCCCCCGCCCCCCCATCCTGCCCTGGCCTCAGTGACTTGAGCAATGGGCACAATTAAAGTCAAAACCCTGGATTTTCCCTCTCCTGCACCCACAGGCTGCAGAGAGTGGAGCCTGGGTCTCTCTGCGCCTAAATGATTCGGTGGAGTAAGTGTCGCTGTCCAAGGGAGAGGAAGTGAAGCCTGGAGTACCAAGCTTCAGTGTTGTTGGCTGGATACTCAACCAGACACTGAATCGGGGCACTGTGCCTTTAAGAAAGAGGAAAACACATCCTGGGGGGGTGGAGCCCGGCCCAATTATCCAGGTGCTGGGAAGTTGCTGGGGCCTGCCTTTGTTAGGATCAGGTCTTGGTGGTTCTGGTTTGCAGTTCTGGCAGCACCAGCCCTGCTTCCCTACTTCCCTGCCGCCACACGACGGAGCTTTGGCAGCGGTGAGCACCCCTCCCACCCACACGCCCACGAGCTCTCTGTCTTTCCAAGCCCAGTGTTGACAGCTATCATTTTCAAACTCCTCTTCAGGCCTTTTTTCTTCTTCCTTTCAAGTTCAGGCTCTTCTGTGGTTAAAATTATCTTTTCTACATCCTCCCTTTCCTACCTGTCAGCCTGTGCTGGGGGAGCAGCTGAAAGGAAGGAAGAAGGCTGACCTTTGGGGGTGAAGGTGAGGTCACCCAGTCTGTTGGCTGAGCAAGTGTTTCGAATCCTGTGTATCTGTGTGTGTGTGTCTGTCTGTCTGTTCTGAGCTAGAATTGGTGGCTCTGAAAAGAGGGTCCAGGAGTCCCATGCCTCCAACCCCCACCTGGTATTCCAGCTGCACACAGTAGGTCCTTGATAATAACAGGCAAAGATTAAGAAAGGCAGAAGATTGGCAGGAGAACTGGCCAGGGAAGTTAAGACACTTGGGTTCTAGCTCCGACTCCACCTGAAGCTTTTTCAAAGCTTCCCCAGTTTATCCACTTTCTATAAAAGAAGTCAGTAATTCCACGCTCACCTCCTCTGGCTACTGTGAGACCAATGAGATAATTGAGCAGACATTTTCTTCCAAGGACCAAAGAATAGAACCAGCTGGGCAGAAGTCATAAGCGGGCAGGTTTTAGGTCAAAATCAGGAAGAAATTTCTATTAACCAAAGTCCCCTCTAGAGGCCCCCTAATTGAGCAAAGAAACCTCTGTTGTGGGACCTGCTCAAGCCAGACAGATGGATCAGCTGACGGACGTCCTGCATGAGGGGGCTGAACCCAGGGCTGTAAGGTCCCTTTGAAATGTGAGTGGCTACCTTTCGGTGGATGTAGAAGGGCTTCAGAAAAAATCCACATGAGGCTGGAAGTATGTTGGCTTCTCTGCACATTTCCCAGAAGTTCCTGGCCAAGTTCAGGTTTGGAGGATGGGCTCCAAAAGCCAGGGGAGAGCCCACTGACAGCCTGGGCTCTGGGGTCACAGAGCGGCCTTGCCTCTCCCGCCAGCACCCGGAGTCCAGAGCTGCTGCATCTGCCGAGTGTACTGAGCAAGGACACAGGCCCTTTCTGCTGGGGTCCCCGCCGTGGGCTGACTCCAGTGGGACCCGCCTCTCTGGACCCGGAGAGCCCAGGGTCCTCCGGCTGGGCCGAGGGAGGAGGCCAATGGTAGGACTGGCCCCTCAAGGGCATGCCAGTGTCCAGAGAGGGAGGCCTGATACCCTCCACTGTGAGGTCAGGCCCTGTAGAGCTGGTACAGGCGGGGCCTCCCCAGGAGACAAGCCCGCCCTTCCTTCCTGGTGGTTCTTGGCTATAAACTTTGATCAGAGGAAACACTATCTTTCACATCTTTCCAAGCCTACCCTTCAGCTCCAAGACTAAGATTTAGACCGTCTCCTTTCACCTCCTAAGAGTCCTTCGGGTAGGATTCTCTTCCATTCCACAAGAGTTGACTCAGTGTGGCTGGGTGGACAGCTCCAGCCATCCGTGCCCCTGGAGGAGCCTGGTCGTCTTTTCCCTACCACACACACCCTCTGGTCTCTGCTCACTCACCTGCCACGCAATGGAAATTTTCTTCTGTAACTTGGGGAGGATAAAATATTTTTGGTAGGGAAAGGTTCAGAGAAGATGAAGGGGTATCTGACATCCCTTCTGTTGGTTGGTCCTGTGAACTGGCATACAGCCCAATTTGGGAGTTGGGGGTGGGTAGGGATGTTACAAACCAGGGCTCTTGGCCTTTCCCAGTCAATAGAAATTGATGAGAGGCCAGACCAAATATTCAAGCAAGGCTCTATTGAGGCCCCTGCTGCAGCAGGGGGCAGAGAGAACCAACAACAGATTCCCTTGCTTGCTCACTCCATGAGGGGAAGGCGAGCTTGTTCCTTATATGGGGTGAGGGTAGGGGTACGTCCAGGGGTCAGGCAGAGGCTTTTGTCCACCCTTTAGGCATTGGTGTGTGCAAGGGGTATGCTTAATACCCTGTTTTTGCTCCAGACTCCTCAAAAGTGGCAGCTGAGTTTTTGGGTCTTTTTGTATCTTTGGGGGCCAGAATTCTCCCCAGCTGTGCATGCACACAGGCATTTTTAGTCCCACAGTTTCTTTGTATTTTGTTTCCCGAGGAGTGGCGTTTCAGCAGCTAGCACTGCAGCACGGGGTCCTGAGTCTCAGCTTGTCTCGCGGAGGGCAAAGGTTGACGTTGAGGAAAACTTGAACACAAGTACAATGGCTCTGGGGCTCAAGAGGTGTGCAGCTGGGACTCCCCAGGTTGAAGCCCAGCCCCCTCTGGCACCCCGAGGACTAGACGTGTTAGAACATCTGAGATAGTCACAGGTGTTGATGTGCCCACGGTGGACATCAGCAAGGGGGGCGCTGAGCGGGAGCCAGAAGAGTCGAGATGCCGGGCAGCATAGGGAGAGATCTGGAGCTCTTGGGAAGTAAGGAAGGAGAGAGGGAAAGTGCAAGCTGCTCTGAGAAGAAGCTTTGCAGTGAGAGTAACTAGAGTGGAACACGTGTTTGATTTAGTTGGTTGTTTTTTTTTTTAATATGGGAGAGACAGAAATGTGGTTTTAATCTGAGGAGGAGAAGCTCACAGAAAAGCAGAAGATGAACAGTTAGGAGAATGGAGGTAATTAGTGGATCAAAGACAGACGAGGGGAGGGAAGGGATCTTGAACCAGAAGGGATTTTCCTGAAACAGGACAAGAGAGGAGGAAGGCAGGAAGGAGGTGGAGATCCACGTAGGAGCCTTCACCCCGCGCATGAAATGGGAAAGTCCCTCACTGTGCCCTCTGCAGGTGAGGGGCGCCAGGAAGGGCCAGGTCCAAAGTGGCCGCAGTGGGGCTTGGGGGGCTTGCTGCATAGGATGGAGGGACCTCGGGGCTTGAGGATGTGCCAAAGCCACCACAGCCAGGTGTGAGCCTCGGCTGGGACTCCATAGACTGGACAGAGGGAAACGGCCCGAGAATCACCAGGGGGCGCCAATGAGTTCACCATCCGGGGGGGCGGGCGGTGCTGGCTCGAAGACCCCAGAGGCATGGGATGGGTGTTGGGGAAACTGGAAACTTGTGGTTTCCACTGTCTCATGGGTGGATCGCCTTGTTTAGGAGTTGATGAAGGTGGGGAAAGCTGGCGAAAGACTCACTGTGGCACTTGGGAAGAGCAGAGTATGTCTTATTGTTTTATTTCTTTTTGGCTGCCCTGGGTCTCCATTGCTGCGTGCAGGCTTTCCTGAGTTGTGGTGAGCAGGGGCTGTGCGCTAGTTGAGGTGCTCGGGCTTCTCACTGCAGTGTCTTCTCTTGTTGCAGAGCATCGGCTCTAGGGTGTGGACTTCAGTAGTTTGGGCCCACAGGCTTAGTTGCCCTGTGGCATGTGGGATTTCCCCAGGCCAGGGATCAAACCCATGTTCCGCTGCATTGGCAGGTGGAATTTTAACCACTGGACCACGGGGGAGGCCCCAGAGTGTGGTGTTAATTGCACCACCCACTGCCCCAGAGAGCAGATATTGAAGGCAAAGCAAATTGCTCAAGACTAATCAAATTGTTTCCTTGAGATGCAGAGTCTAGTAGAAAAATGATGAGGGATTAGTGCTCAGGATATTAGGAGGCCAGCCTGACTCTTGCCTCTGAAAATTGTGGGACTTTGCTTAGGTCATTGGCCTCAGTTTCCTCCTCTTCTTGGGGTGTATTTGTGGTGCATTTGCGGTCACGTTGTGTGGTGACGGAGCAGCTGTAATTCCAGGAATTACAGCAAGAAGAGTGAAGACTCAGGTTCTCGTCTCTTCTCCCCACTCCACCAGTAAGCACAGATTTCCCACGGAGTTTAGGAAGAGGAGCTGCGTGGACTGGTCCACCTCGTGCCCAAGGGCCCTGTGTGCCCCCGACGCCCCCCAGCCCCGCTGCTACCGTCAGACACAGGCAGCAGGGGTGGGGAGTCCGTCACCCCTCGTCGCTTGCTCAGGTGGCCGCGCCCGCTTCTTTGCTGCTGGCCTCCAGCCGGCTCCGCGACCAGCACAGCTCAGGCTGTGCTCACCGACCTGGCGTCTGAACCCAGAAGCATTCCCAGCTCCCTGGTGGCAGGCGGCTTCTTCTCTGCCCCTCCAGGGATCTGGGATCGATTTAGCCTGTTTCCGTGGCAGCGTGGGTTGCAACGGCAGCCTCTGCCTCCCCGCGAGGCTGGGTGAGTCACGGCTGCCCACGCTCACCCTCCGCAAGCCTTCTGGAAGCCTGGAGAAATCGGCAGGGGGTTGCCAGAGCGCTCTGCGAGGCTGGTGGCTTCCTGCCCTGGGTCTCAGGCCCAGGACAAATAGAGCGCTGGGCACACAGCCCTGGACCGGGCTCACCCACCCAGAAACCTGGCAGGCTCTGCCCACGAGAGCTGTTAGATCTGCTCCAACTGACTTCAGAGGGGATACTTTCTTGGCTGCTGCCAGCAGCTGCAAGGCCTCATGGGAGAGACCTGCAGGTGTTCGGACTCCAAGTCCAGTGGTCTTTTCACTGCCCAATGATCGGCTCTCAAACTTGTCTTCGTCTGCCCACCTCAGCACCCAGCTTCCTTCCGGCTCTCTTCCCACGACCTCCCTTTGTGACACCCATCAGCCTCCCCTCTGAACAACAGGCCTCATATTGCATTCTTTCCCAGGTCTTCTCCTCCCTGAAACTTACCTTTTCTTCCTCCTTTCCCCTTTTCTGATCTGGGTAAGCTGAAAAAAAATCAAACACAAATAAAAAATAAACCCGAGTTCATTCTGTATCATTAAGGCTAATAGCAGTTACAGGGCTCATCTCATCTCATCTTTTATCCTTGGCTTTGAGAAGCAAAACATCTGTCTAAGGCAATAGTTTCTCAGAATATAATCCTTGGACTGGCAGCATCACTGGGGAGCTTGTGAGAAAGGCAGAGGCCCCACCCCAGTGCCCTGTGTCACAAACTCTGGGAATGAGGGCTGACATCTGTGTTTGACAAGCCCTCTAGCTGACTCAGATATCTGTTGGAATTTGAAAACCCTGGTGTAAGCAAGTGGATCTACATCAATGGAGTTGGAGTGTTTTGGTCCACACCTCTGCCTATGGTCACAGCACAGCTGCCAGTGTCTCTGTTTTGTTTTAAATTTATTTTATTATAATTTTTTGGCTGCATTCTGGGTCTTCATTACTGCACACTGGTTTTTCTCTAGTGGTGACGAGTTGGGGCTACTCCCTAATTGTGGTGTGCAGGCTTCTCATTGTGGTGGCTTCTTTAGTTGTGGAGCACAGGCTTCAATAGTTGCAGCATGTGGGCTCTAGAGCACAGGCTCAGTAGTTGTGGCACATGGGTTTAGTTGCTCTGCGGCATGTGGGATCTTCCCGGACCAGGGGTTGAACCTGTGTCCCCTGCATTGGCGGGTGGATTCTTAACCCCCGGGCCACCAGGGAAGTCCAAGCATCTCTGATTTGTGTGAGCCATACTGAGGGGCCTGGGTTAGACACAGACCCCAGCTGCCCCAGCTCTGGGGGCCCGGGGTTTTCCTCAATGACGCCCTTCCTCCAGATTGTTTGCATCAATGGAGAGAAGCTGGCGTGTCTTTTCCTATGTGGAAAGGGCACCATTACCCCACCTACCACACAGAGGGCATTGAGGGGGTGATAGGAAGCCCACTCATTGGAAATGAACAATTCAGCCATTGTGGCCCGGGACGAGAGGCCACTAAGCGCATTTCTTAAGACCTAAAGAATTCCAGCAGAAGAAAAAGGCACTGGTGATACTTGTTCATCAATGCACATTCCTCTCCCGTCTCTCAGTTCTCGGCCACATCGGGTCTGGGCTGCATTATGTGGAATCTTTCATGTGGCACATGGACCCTCCAGTCTTGGTGCAGGGGCTCTGGAGTGTGCAGGCTCAGTAGTTGGGCACTGGGGCTTAGTTGTTCCACAGCATGTGGGATCCTAGTTCCCCGACCAGGGGTCAGACCCAAGTCCCCTGCATTACAAGGCAGATTCTTAAGCACTGGATCACCAGGGAAGTCCCAAGCATGAGGTCGCTTTGACCCAAGTTGGGTCAGGGAAGCTATGCTGGTTCTGCCAGGGAAACACTCAGACCCAAAGTCGATGGACCTCTCTGAAACACGGGGTGATCTGCAAAACAGCTGAAGGACCCTGTTGAAGTTCCTGGTCT